TGCACTTTTTCAATATTTAATTATGTTTATTATTTAAACAGTTGTTACTGTTAGGATTTTACAGGAGTTGAGGAGATTCTGTCTCTTCCACAGCAATTTCACAGAAACTAGCCAATAATTGCCTGAACACTCAGGAAAATGTGTATTACATTATAAAAGTCCATCACTCTCTCTCACGCACACAGGTGTACTGTTCACTGTTCAAAATATTTAGCAAACGATTACTCCAGTGAGTTTGAAAATCATCCCTCCAGTTATAGGAATGTTGAAGATATTTTCATTATTTTAAACTCTTAGGTTATCAAAACTGAACTGTCAATAGCGATTTCTAATAAAACATTTCTAAACATTTTCTTCCTTGTTGATGAAAAATACACAAGAAGGATAATCATTTGCATTCTACAGAAACCTTCATATTTGCTGTGTGCTCATGTTATATTCTAAGCATCATCCCGACACAAGAATGTATTTTAATAGGATGCTTACAAAACTATTACTGTAAGCTAAGTAATGAAAGAAAGCTCATTGTCTATTTGCTAGAGGTGCTTCGCATTTTTGTTTTCTCATTTTTCATTCCTTTACAAAATGCAGAAAAGTACCCAAATTTATCTGAATAATTGACCTACATGACAATGGAAATGAAACAAAATGAATTTCTTCTTTGTAAAAAAATTATTTGAAAAACAAAAACCTGTGACCTAGTTATGTTCGGGACTGAAAATCAGATTTTCCTGTGGATTTTCTTTTCTTGGATAATTTATTTTAGGTTAAATTGTAGTAGTTATGTTTTTTTAAAAAACAATATGACATTATGCACTATAGAAATGAAAGGTTGAATGCAATCCCTGCTAAATTTATTAAATACAGCTAGTGATTATGACTCATTTTGTCAATGTATTTACCAACCTCCAGACTGATAAACTCCTAAGCAAAAAGCTGGCAATATGCAAAGTCAGTGAAGACAAATCTGCAATCATTGGAAGATAAAAGGGACAAAATGCTATGATTATTATCAGAGTATCTAACAGAGGCTTATATGAGCCAGTTGCCTAATTCACCAGAGGACAATGTTTAGTTTTCCTATAAATACAGATGTAGATTTAAGGATTTATCTAGCTCTCATTCATCCACCTTACTGCAAATTCAGATACCACTCTAAATGATGTACCGGTAGTTCAGCCCTGGCATCTCTCTGATTACTTTGAGACCATCAGTCCATCTTTTCCAACATTTCAGTCTGGTAGATACAAACAGAAACCTTATTCAGCTTGTTTTTATTTATTTATTTTATTTTACAAAATTTATATGCCGCCCTTCTCCCCATGGGACTCAGGGCGGCTCACAGCATGTTAAAACAATATACAGAATTACCCCTTCTAAAAACCAATTAAAATCCAAATATTAGTGGCTGTGGCTATTTAAAATCATTAAAAATTGTCCCTATTTAAAATTCACCCTAGGTCAGTTTTCTGTCATACAGGTTTATAATTGACCTAAAGCTTCACTTTCCAGAGTATGGACTACACAGCGACACAACCATACCCTCAGATCATGATTATAATGGCTTATTGTGCCTTAAGGTATGATTTTCAGTCAACATCAGTATTGAATAAACTTTCCTTGCTGTTAAAAAGACTGCCTTTGAAAATTTGCTGCAAGGCAATGAGTGCCCTCTAGTGTACAAAACTGGCTGAAAAAAGATAACAGGGAAGATTAAATGCAATGTGGAAGTTCAAGGAATGCCCAAGGTGCCTTTTGCTTTTTTCTGGGTTCTTACTCTGTAAACAAAAGATGAAAGAGCGACAACAAGAAGAAAAAATATAATACAGATAAAGGAAATGTGTTGTGGTAATCATTTGTGGGATCACAGAAACATAATGTTGATACACTTATATGATGTCTCCAAATCACTACCACAATGAATTCTATTTTCCCGTCTTATATTTCCTATTTCTTATTAAGTTATTACATCAAAAATAGAAAGTTTTCTGGATCATTTGTAAACAATAGTAACAAGACAATATCTCTGTCCTAATATGAATGACATTTAAAAAAAAAAGGTTTAGGATAGCCAGAAGTGGATTTTCATCTGGACCAACTATGAGTTGCTAGGATTACTTAAAGGAGTACTTTAAGAATCTTGGAATCATCAAATCTCAATATTCTATTTTAAAAACTATAAAACAAAATGGATCCTGCAGACTTGAAGACTGAGGATTCCAGTCCTGGTCCTTAGCAGTATTTTGAACTCTTCGTCCCTTTTTGGCTACTGTGTTGATGACTTTGTCAGTTGAAACTATAGCAAGGGCAATATCCAGTGAACCATCTTCTTTTCTTTCTTTGTTCTGCCTCTTCGAAAACTTTTTTTTCCAGTATATATTCTGTATCTTTTCAAAACATCTGTATTTCTCATCTTCATTTCATTTTTCTCTCTGAGTTTAGAATAGTTTTAACAGCTATCCATTCAATTTTTATGAATTCTAGGAAGGTATGAAGCAATCAGAAGCTGTGATTTCAGATCATTTGTGGGAATGCTTTCTATACACACTATGAATAACACAAAAAAAAACCAGTCTTCTGGCATCTGGAAAAAATACATAATGAGGATAAAGGACAACAAAATAAAAGGATATGAGTTACTAAGTATCTCATATTTCAGCTGAGGGGAGCCTAAGAAGGGCCAGATAAATAGACAGTCTAGACTAGATTTAAAAACTTTAAAAATCTGAACGAAGATAATGGCAAACCATTTTTATATGAACGTGAGTAAAATAAGATGTAAATGTCCATGTAGTCATCAGCAATCTGACTCAGGGTTCTTTAGGTTCTAATGATCTGAGTTTCTTTTTGGACTTCATGTACAAAATAAGCACATGCCCATTCATTCATTTCACTAATAATAGAACAACCAATTGAAACCTGCTTCCTTGTACTCCACTAATGGGATTTATGGATGTTGTACTATTAAAATAAAGAGAGATTTATTTCAATATAGCTAATTGAGACACTTTCTTGGCTTCAAGCCTTTCTTCTAGTATCTACTCTTGACATGAAGAATCATTTAATTGATTAATTAGTGTTCTGCCTGACATCACTGAATTGATTGCTTCTCTTCGCAGGGATGCTTTTCCACAATGTACGGTTTTTTGAATGGTGTTCACCTAAAGTTAATCAAAAATATAAAAAGGAGGTATCTGAACTTGTATATTTTTTTCTTTTTTGATGCAGCTTTAAAAAATGGCATACAGTTTATTCCAGAGTAAGGTAGTAAATAGAATCAACCAATACTTTATATACAGTGAATGTTTATCATTTTAAAAGATACTTGTTTTGAAGATATCTAAAAGTATATTAAAAGTCATTCAAAGCCACAGAAATCTCATCTAACATCACAAAATTTATGTGTTAAAAGTTTTGTTTCAAAGACATTTTTTTTAAAAAAATAAATATATTAAACATTTTATTGCCAACAAATCTGCTGCCCTTGAACATTTATTGGCTCTCATTTGTTTTCAGCAAAAAAAAATGACTACTGTGTGGTAACATGTAAAAGGATAGCATTTTTTCCCAAAAAATGATGTAACAGTTGTGTGTTATTTCAAGCTGTCCTTCATAACAGCACTATTGTCTACTGCTACCTTTTTTACAGTAAATTGTTTTCCTGATAGATCTATATAGCAGTCAAAGTAAACTCTGGCATTCAAACCCTTAGTGTGTGCTTAAAATTGGATTTCATTATTAGCAACACATATATTTCGTACAGTAATCCTTTCTTCACATTAAATACATATACATTATATATATACAGTAGCTTCAGAAAAAATACATCCATATGCCCTTCTCTTGAATTAAACGACCCCAATTGCCTTGCCTGTCACCATCACCATTATTTTTATCACTATTACTGATGAAATCTTCTTTTTTCTTCCTTGCTACTACGGCCCTCTGTATGTTATCAGACCATGGGCTTAGAGATGCATCATAATGTGAAAGATGAGCTAAAACCACCCAACCCTTATACACCTGACAACACAAACAACAAAATTCTAGAGCTTCTGAAAAACAAGTGGAGGGAGAGATCAGGAATAAATGATATAGACTGGTTTCCCCTGCCTAGTGCTCTTCCGAAGAAAACTGAAGACTCTAATCCCAATACATCGGGGAGGTACTAATTTAGGCCCAAATTGGGACAAAACTCTTTCTGGCAAACCTCTGAACATGACAAGTTTCTTATTACATCCTTAAGTGGCCTCTGTTAAAAAGAAGTAAAACCCACTCCAGCTTTCCCTGGGATGGGGATCTGGACCAGAACCCTCCAGCAGAAAGGAAGAACTTTTGAAAATCCCATGTAGCCAAAGGTGACTGGACCCAAGGGTCAACATGGAAGGCCCCACTGGAACTTGGGATGGTAGGGAGAAGCTATCCTGGGATGAAATATCATCCTGATCAGGTGGGGATGACTATCACATCCACCCACTCACTCAAGGGAACAACAGAATCGTGAGTCTTGCTTTGGCCCTAGGCAGGCTGATACGTCTCCCCCCATCTCCCCCCACCCCGTACCAGATGCTTTACTCCTACTGGATGGCGTAAGTCTTGCGTCACACGGAGGGCAGTAGGCGATTGGGAGAATGGTGCCCGCGTCTCCTTTTTTGACTAATTATAAAGTCGCCTTCCCCACTTCTTTGCTCCTGATTTTGCTGAAGAGTTCCGAAGCTACAAGAGATACCCTTCTTGGGAAGCGAAGGAAGTAGTCCCAGCACCGCTACTCTTCTCTTCGGTAAGATGGATTTGTAGTAGTGCAGCAGGTCGTTCTTCGCCAGCTGCCATGCCTTTCCTCTCCCCCCCTCCCTTCCGTTGTTCATTTCTTTCTCTTTTCTTTTCTTTCTTTCCCCTGCAGTCAGTTAGCTTCTTCGGAGAAAAGCCCCCGCAGGGTTCTTCCGTGGGATCTTCGCCGAGAGGCTCTGAGCGAGAGCTCACTTCAGAAGCGTACCGTATATGCCGGAGCAGAGAAGAGATGTAAGTCTGGGCGTGTGGCGAAGGAGGGGACAGCTGAGCTCCGGGTCTAGCCTTCTCCAGATTTTTCTTTTTTTGAGACTTAGAGCCTGGGTTTCACTCGCCCGCCTCCCGTGGCTCATTGCCGGCGGGGATGAAAATGGAATCAGATTTCAGGTGAACGGGATAAAATTCGTTCGCCGCTGGTCATATTATAGCATCTGGAAGTGTTCATTGTTCACGGTTAAGTCATCCCGTGAAAGTATGTGAAGTATTTTATTCTTTGCTTAGTTTGTTACCAAGATTTTTCCTTCCTTTTTTTCCAGAGTTCTACTGAAACTCTGTATAAAAGCCAATATTTGTAAAAGGATTGTTCTGTTTATTATGAAAGGAGCTATTTGAGATCTGATTAGGGGGGGGGGGGTTGCACTCAATTTCAAATAATGTATTCTAATTGTATGTTCTTTAATTGTGTCTAGCATCATGTGTGAAATTGTCCATATATGTAATGATAGACTTTAATGCAGGATCCAATCTGGGTTGGTCACCGGGACCATCGGTCGCCATATAAATACCACACAGAGAATAGTCCAAACCACACACTCTGCGAGAGACAAGTTCCTTGAGGATGAGTTCCAGCACAAATCCAAAAGCTTGGAACAGTGACCGACCCAGTGACCGACCCAGATTGGACGCTGCAACATTATACTTTGGATTCTTTTTCCATAAGTATTTGTTAATGCAATCTATTGCTATTATTAAAAAAAAAAAAGGGAATACTGTGACTGAGTTTAATTCTTCTTCTTTTTACAGACCATGACATTGCTTCTGAGGTGTTATTTCTTGCTTTTGGCTCTTAACGCATACCTTATCCTTACTGTTCAGGCAGAATGTGCAAAAGATTGTGCATCCTGTGCCCATCAATTGGCATATCACGCTGATATCAACCCCTTGGTAAGCAGAATTTACTCATTTTGAGATTCTTTCTCCTGGCTCAGCTTGATACTTCATAGTTGCACAAATAGATTACAAACTCAAAATTAGATAACTAACTTAGATTAGTCACTCAGTGATGGATTTGACTTATCACTGAAGAACTTATATTACAGTTTATTGTCCATGTATATTTTCACACAGTGCACTGAATCTAATGTATATCAACTACAGATAGAAGCACTACAACACTGAAGATTAGCCGATGTTCTTCATCAAAAAAATTATAATAGTACATAAAGTATTATTTATATAATTTTCCTCCCCAATGTGTTTAAGTGTTATGACTTCATTCACTAGTAAAATATTGCTTGAAAATTGATATTTTTTTAATGTTATTATTGTATTTTATTTTTTTATACTTTCAAATTAATCTTGACTTCTGGCATTAGCCGGGACAAGTCCCTGCACTTTTGTTGGCTATGTGTTTTTTTTCCTAAGTGGTTTGCTACTGTTTTCTTCCTTGGGCTGACCCATCTGGGTTTCTGTCTAAAACTGGAACTCATGGTATCTCAGTTCTAGCCTATTGCCTTACACCACAACACAAAGTAGCTATCAGTCTTAACAGTACTATACATTAAATATTCAAGTTATATATACTTCATTGACTAATTAATAATGAATATGTATTAAATTCATTGGTTACATTCCTCTATTTCATCACAGCCAGATCAATGAGTTCACAAGTCCTCTTTAACTCTCTGTATTGGAAAATGCTTGCTTTTGCTGTAACATGCTAAACAACGGATGGAATAGCAAATAAGATGGAATGCCTTTCACATATTTCAGCTCATGTTGCAAACTTAATGAAAGCTTTGAGTTTTAGAATTAGTACAAACAATAGTGCCTCAATTATATGCAGGGCTTTTTTTGTCATAGAACGCCCAGAACGGAGTTCCGGCACCTTTTTTGGATGGAATCTTGTAGGGTAGGCAAGGCAGGTGGTATGACGTGTGTGAGTTCCGGCACCTTTTTTTTTTTAACAAAAAAAGCACTGATTATATGGTTTATTATTGTCTCCCTGTAGTCTGCTTATCTCATAATATAGTGATGGCATAATTATTGCTATTGTTGGTTTCTGTAGCCCCCCCCCCCTTTCAGTCAGTTTGATGAAGATAAAAACTTGGAAACTGTCAACCATCTCATTTTATCAAGCTGGATCAATTAAGTCTCACATGAACTCTTGTGAGAATAATATGATCCAGGAAAGATTGAAATTTCTATTTAAAACCTGGGCTTGATTCTGGCATGAAAGTACATTTCAGAAGGTGTAGCACACTTTTTCAACTTTTGGAGATCCAGCTCTTATCTGGCTATTCTGGACTGCATATATTTTTGCCAAAGCTTATAGGAGAGGTTTTATCCAATTAGTGTCTACTTTCTTACATTTTTATAACTACAGTATATAGCTACACTGATATGCAGGAGAAATTGAGCTTTTATTATTCAAATAGTGCTCCTCCATTCCAGATTGCAAATATTTTTTAAAATACTCTTATATTTCTTTGTTTTATTCTATCAGCCTAAGCATAGGATATGATTCTCTTCTTAATGTCTTTTCATATTGTTCTCACAACTCTAGGAATTGGGTAAGGCTGGGAGACAAGGGTCACATTGTTTCAGTTTCAGGTGATATTTGAACCTGGTTTGCATTTTACCTTTCGGGGTCTAATCTGACCCAAAACAATATAAATTTTAAAAATATTATATATTAATGTACATCCTTTCTCCTGCCCTCCCCCCCCCCAACGGTCTTTCTTCTGTGTATTTGTTTTTAATATATAATCAGGTCCATAAAAGCATGTGCATTCTTCTATATAATCTCTTTGGTTAATAATTAAGTAAGACACTTGAAACTAATAAGATTGACATAGAGAAAAGCATGTGTCTGCTATGTTCTTAGCTGTCGATGTCCTTTGCAACTCAAAAGCAAAACAGCAGCTGACTCTTCATGATATTAAGCTCCCAGACTTTTTTCCAAAATATATTTTTGAAAGAGATAAAAAGGTATTGTTTTTCAAGTTTTACACTCATTCTTCAGCATGCACATGAAAAGCAACAGCAATTTGAGTTCAACCATACTCCTGTTAAATAATTAGAATCATTAGCTTCATTATTATTCCAATAAATATATACATTTTAAAAGATAATATTAACCAAAATAATCAGGTTATTAATTACTATCATAAAGAAAATTGAGGCAAAATAAAATAAAAGTAAGCCGCAGAGCCAAAAGGTTGAGCACATCTTCCTTTATCAGATTTTCATTGTGGAAATGAATTAACAGCCCTCTGAAGATAAAGATAGTACAAGATAGTTCTATGACCACAAAAGGCATCATTTAAATTACAATAGACTTTTGAAGAACTTCATGGATGGTTGTGTTGGCCAAAAATGAGAGTTATAAACCAGCATAATTGGATGGAATCAGGTGAATGTATCTACGTAGACTTCCATGAGTCAATTCCAATGAGTAAAGATGGACATACTTCTGAGCAAATAAGCATAAGTTTACATCAGATAAGAGAGCAAAATGAACTGAAATTAATCACTTGATTTTTTAACTCATAAATATGTTGTTTAAATTTGAGTAGCTAGCCATTTATTTTTCCTTTTGTTTAATCGCATCCTGAATAACAAGTCCTTTCCATAACTATTTTGTTTGGTTTTCCTTCTTAGTTTAGAATAGCAGAAGTGAAAAAATAGGCATTATTTTCATAAAGAATGAAAGATTTCTCATAAAATAAAGTCATACACATGAAATAGCATAACCTAATGCTACAAGGGGTATCGCAGTTCACTAATTAAATATTTGGTTCTTTTTCCTTTAGCCTACTAAAAAGGTTTTGGCTGTTGGTGACTTTAATGTTAATCTATTACATTCACTTAATTCTGTGATTTTGTTCTTTTTTCACATCAGATCTATTAAGTTAGGGTTATCAATCAATGGTTGATAGTTACCCTGGTGAATATATGCATTCACACCATAATCACAATAGGATATACTGCAGAGGTTTAAAATGTTTTGGATATGAGATTTAACACTAGCGGGAGGCAAACAAATTGCTAACTATTCTGTCAGACTTTGAAAACCAAGGAATTTTCAAAATGTTTCTGTATAATAATGTTCACATATAGCTCTATGCTAATGATAATTGCATCATGATTCTATTGAAGTATACTGGATATAATTTATAGCCAAATATTCATATTCAAGCATGCAGAATTTTCTTACTTCAGAGAAAAGTGATAAACCCCTAAGGGTTCTCGAAGAATCCCTAATGAATATAAATTATTCCTTCATCAAAATTGAGCTACAAGAAATAAACTGGTAGAAGAAAGCCACAGTCATAACTGGTAAATCAAGCTAGTACAATTCCAAGCATGAAAAACAAAAGCAAAAGTAAGAAACAAATGTGTAAGTAAAGCAATAGCAAGTTTGAACAAGAAGCATTTATTATAAAAAAAAAAAGCTAATGATCAACTTCAGTAGTTTGAATTAATCACATATGCAGAAGCTAAGGACTGTTCATTAAGATGCTCTGACTTATAAACCTTGGGCCTAGATCCTTTTTTATTCTAGTTTCTGAAGTTCCTAATATCCTTTTAGTAATCAGAAATTAGAGAAAAAGTCAGTCAAGGAAGGAAATTATATATTTCATCTTGCAAGAATGTGACCTATTTGCTTCCAACCATGATGAATTAAAAACAATTAGAATTACTTTTGGAAAAACTACATTATTTCAGTTAGACTGATATATGGAATAGGACAATGAGTGTCAGAGACCTAATAAAACCAACATTTGCTTTCTGAAAGCTATGAATGAAAATGGTTATAGGCTGAATAACCATACCTTTTAGTATTAAATTTTGCAGATCAAGAATGGACCAATTTTTTTTGGGGGGGGGAAGTTACCATAGTCCCCACAATACAGAAAAGATGTTGAGACCCTAAAAAAAGTACAGAGAAGAGCAACAGGGGTCTCAAGGCTGACTTATATGATGAATGGTTGAGAGAACTCGGTATGTCTAGTCTAAAGAAGAGAAGGTTAAGAGAAGAAATGATAGCAGTTTTCCAGTACTAAAGGTTCTCACAGAGAACAGTGGGTTGACCTATTCTCCAAAGAACCTGAGGGCAGGACAAGAAGTAATAAATGGAATATCCTTAAAGAAAGATCAAACCTAGAACCTCGGAGAAATTTCCTGACAGTGAGAACAATTAATCAGTGAAACAACTGGCTTCCAGAAATCAGTGTTCAAGAAGAGATTGGACAACCATTTATTTAGAATGATAAGAGGGTCTCCTGCTCAAGCTGGGTATTAAACTAGAAGGTTTCAAATGTCCCGTCAAATGTCCAGCATTGTTATTGTATGTTCTATGTACTAAATTATAATAGCACTGGAAGAAATAAAGCTAAGGAAATTAGGAATAGGTTCAGTATACATATTGATCTTTGTTCTATTTGGCTACTCCAAATGAATTCTCATGGCTCAAAATGTTTAATATTAAGTGTACAGTGTACAGATTTTATACAGTTTAATCTTTATTTAGTATGGAAATTTAATAGAATATTTAGGGATGTTAATTATAAAATGCATTTTTTTCTTCAGCCTGTGTTTGAAATCACTACTTATTGAATCAAGCAACAAAAATATTTTATTTATATGCATGTATGCATATTTATCTGTCTGTGCATCTGTCTTTTTGTCTATCATCTGTCTGTCTGTCTGTCTATTTATCTATCATCTCAAACAGCATGAGAAAACATTCCTGCCAAGATTCAGCAAAATAGTTCTGAAATAATTCTGAGGTTTCTTAAACCAATTTCCTTGAAAGCAGCATTTGAGTAGAATTTTTAATTATACCGTATTCCATACATCAAAATGGATGCCATCCCAGTTTCTAAAAACATCACACAATAAGGAAACTTTTGTCAGACTCAAGGACAACAACAATATAATGAAATCCAATTGAGTCCAGTTCTTCATTTGTTTATACCTAATAGACAAAATCTTGCCAGACTAAATACAGACATGTCAGACTCGCAACGTCATGTGACGTCGCGCAACATATCGGGAGAGTTTTGCCATAGCCGGCAGTGGGGTGGGCGCAGCTTCTGCATGACGCGTCTGGCCCACAGGCTGGCAATTTGACACCTCTACTCTAATATAGTAGAACTCTGCTGAAAGATTCTAGGATGTGGCTACCTGGAATCTCTTCCTCCCTTACCCATCCAGCTCTGGATTGCGCAGTCTCTTAATTTGGGTTTATCTCTGGAATGTACTGCCTGCTGGAATCCCCCTCCCCTCATTTCTTCTCCAGGTGCATATTCCATCACACATTTTGATTTATCAGCAACAGTGATTATAGAATATCTGGAGAAAACCTTACTAGTTTTAAAACTAGCTGAACTGCCAACTAATATATGCTTTTTGTTTTGTTTTTATCAGCTTAAGCCCTTAAACTTCATAGTCATGTATAATCGTTTAAATGGAGAGAGATATGTGTATTTGTGTATGTTGTCTTTATTCAAAATTGTTTTCAATCTCTTAAATGAAGGACAAATGGAGGATTTATAGCTTATATGATTCAAAGTATTCAAATTACAGTACAGAATGAGAGATTTACAGATGGTTGCTTGAATTATCATTCCAAAGAATTATGTAATTATGAAGTACTGAACTACTTATGCAACATTGATGACATACTTCTCTTTAATCCAACTGTGCAATACAAGGCAAAGGTAGTTAGCTTAGGCAGCACCAGTAATCTGGATAGTTGCAAAACCTTGCATAAGAGCTTTACCTTGAGCTCTATCAGATAATCAGAACAGTCAACAATTAAGCATGCAATTGTGTACTAAATCCAGAGATACCTTAGCAAATACCTTAGCGGTGAATGTACCAACACTGGAAGTTTTTAAGAAGAAACTGGANTTATTATTATTATTATTATTATTATTATTATTATTATTATTATTATTATTATTATTATTATTATTATTATTAAATGTGCTTGCTATACATGCCTCATTTCCAGGATTGCCTTCAATGAAATAGAATGAGCAACAACACAAATTAAGCAGATAGGGAAGAATGGGATTTATGGACACTAGTGTTTCTGAGTTGAAAGAACTCTGAAATCACTTTACTGATCCAACTAGATCATTTTAAGCAGCACCTTCTGTTTAAAAAATAATATCCCTTATTGGCATAAATTAGGGATAGGCAACCTTGGCTCTTTTATGACTCGTGGACTTCAACTCCCAGAATTCCTGAGCCAGGCATGCTGAGGAGAAAGGGAGTGGTTTCCATGCTGAGCCATGCTGGCTCAGGAATTCTGGGAGTTGAAGTCCACGAGTCATAAAAAAGCCAAGGTTGCCTACCCCTGGCATAAATCAACTGCTCAAATTATAACACTATACAGACTGTGATAGATTCAAGTTTAGGCATAGACTCATCAAAACAGTGTAATTTTAATTAATAAAAACTGATGTGCCTTGTTGATTTCAAGGGATCTAAAGGGTAATTTAGTCTAGTCCTTTTTTATGCTATAGAAAAGGGGCAGGGAAATAATTCTCACCATTTTTCCCTACCCTGAAGTTCTGTGTATTTTTGTAGAGGCTAGGAAAACTACATGCAATATGCTGCAGTAGGAAGAAGCCATTGGTAAAAATTACAGTGCTATTTCCTTCCTTTAGTGGGAAATCTCCTAGTTAGTATCTTCCATGACCATAATGAAGAAAGATCATAGAATAATATTCATTATTATTTAATACTTTAAAGCTCTTACTTAGTAAAGTTTTACTTAAGAAGGCTTTGGGGATTAATTTTAATAAAGTTATTTTGCAGCATCCTTAAAAATTTAGTTAGTCTGTTATTTTTTATTAAGTGCTTTTGCAGCAGTTTTATTGATATAACATGCAAAAATTTGAAATACTTATTTCAAAAAAGTTGTATTACAATAATCACACTTAGAAACAGGATTGTGCAATAAATATATATTTATTTTCAATATACTTATATAATCTGATCATTGGTTCAGTCACTTTTATGCCACTCTTCTTGGTTTCATCTACCTTTCTGTTCCTCTTCTACACTTTTAACCAATCCCAAATATTTTCTACAGAATTTTTTAACAATCTGGAAGACAGGAGCAGTCTGACTATATTCAGTTTCACATTGTGTGGATGTGTGAGACATTATATCCCTTAAAAATATTTTTTGCAAGAGCACTTTCTTCTATCTATAAACTCAACAATCCTATATTTCACAAATCATGCAAAATTTTTATCACTATTATTAGACTACTGTTTTGAGGAGTACATCTTTTTAATTTTTTGATTCCATCTTTTCCGTTCCTATGTTTAGAAATTACTTAGATCATCAGTTCAGAAAGAATTTTAAAAGGTCAAGTATATTTGTTTTGTTTGGCCATATTCAGAATTTAAAATTCTGAAACACAAGACAACATTTCAAATGTTATTTCTATTTCTAAAATAACTTTATAAAACAAACTATTTTTCAGGCATGTACACTAGAATGTGAAGGGAAACTGCCTTCTGCCAAAGCCTGGGAAACCTGCAAGGAACTTCTTCAGATGACTAAACCTCCCCAAGAAAGCAGCAGCATCCTAATGGACAGTCCAAAAGAGGATGAAAGCCATTTGCTAGCCAAAAAATATGGTGGCTTCATGAAAAGGTATGGTGGCTTTATGAAAAAGATGGATGAGCTCTATCATGTAGAACCAGAGGAAGAGCCCAATGGTGGAGAAATTCTTGCTAAAAGATACGGAGGGTTTATGAAGAAAGATTCAGATGATGATGGTTTAGCTAATTCATCTGATCTTCTGAAGGAGCTTCTTGCAACAGAGGAAAATGCTGAAACAGGACACTATCAGGACTTGAGTGATAATGATAGTGAGGTCCTCAAGAGATATGGTGGCTTCATGAGAAGCATAAAGCGCAGTCCAGAGTTGGAAGGTGATGCCAAAGAGTTACAAAAGAGATATGGTGGTTTCATGAGAAGAGTAGGAAGGCCAGAATGGTGGCTGGACTACCAGAAAAGATATGGTGGATTTCTCAAGCGTTTTGCTGATACGCTTCTTCCTTCAGATGATGATGGAGAAAATTATTCCAAAGAGGCTCCAGAGATGGAAAAGAGATATGGTGGATTTATGAGATTTTAGCATCCCTTATTTTGTCCTTTTGATCCCAAATCAAAGACTGCCTCATTGACCATAATTTATTGTATTGTGTTGCTTGTACTGTACAGTTTTTTACTGTCCTGGTTAATAATGCAACTTATTGTCTGTTATTTCAAGTTTTGTGCTCTTTTAAGTAAAAAATAACTTCTGTTTTAGTCTAATTTGTCTCTATTGTACTTTCATGCTAAATCTATTTTAATTACCATATCCATTTCTTTAAAGAATGTAACTGTTTAACTGTATATACAATAAATTCTTCATTTTAACTGCATAAAATATCCTGAAGCATTTTTTTGTAGTCACTAAATTTATGAACAGCAAATATTTAACAGTGGAATGTTTTTATGTGAGTTTTATGCTGTCCATGAAATAGAAATTAAAATTATATCAGTCATATTTTATCATTTACTTTCTGAAAATATTCCATAAGGTTACTTTTAAAAATTCTTCTGTATTTCAACAGCTTAACCATATTTAATAATTTATATATAAGCTTACTCTTTGCTGTAACCAGCCTTTATGTTTGTAAAGAACACATTTCATCACTTCAAGGCAATAATCCAATTTGATGAAATCCAAAGGGATATTATTTTCATAACCATTTGTATAATTGGCTTGTAAACTGAGTAGGCAAATACAATTTTCCTAAACGTTACAGGTTTTTTAAAGATAATTAAGAATATAATCCTATATAAGCTTTCTATTATTCAGTGACTCAATTCTATAGAATAATTTGAGAATTTCACCATAAAACTTTTATAGTTATGAAATTACAGAACTACATATAGATCTTAAATTCAGCAAATACTTCAGCTTACAATAGAATCATCAACTTACATAAATATATTTGCTGAATTCAGAATTGCATTCACTATATTGCAGGATTTAAAATTTTGCTTGTCTCCAGATATAATTGGTTGTTTGTCTTTTGCATTCAGGCCTCAGCAGTATGAATCCAAACAGTAACTATGTTAGCTTCTTAGTCATAGAGAGTATCTATATATGTATAGTTATTTATAAGGGTACAGTTTCTCTAAATGTTAATTAGTACTAACTTGTGACTTTATAATGGAATATGGATGAATAAAGGAAAACAAGCTAGAACTTATTGTATTCATCCCCAGTCTTATTTTCAGGAAACACGGTGCAACATATTTTGAGCACTTTTTCATATGTTGCAAGTAAGGATAGAAGAATTGTGTATGCTGAAATGCAAAATTGCAGCATTCCTGACTTCTAACCTAGGTATGGCATATTTGAGAAAATGCTTATTATCTTTATAGAATGATATTTAATAAAGAGTACTTTGCTGAACATATTGGGAGAGAGAGCTAAACGATTTTATATACCATGCGCTATATTAAAAAGACTCTTGTTACTTTTGGTCCTCTTCACTTAAACTTTGAAAAAAAAATACACCTTGATACATTCTATGATCTTTCTGTATTGAGGAGATAAAAGTTAAGGTTTTAAACAGTACATGCTTCCTGTATCAAGCATGTAAATGATGTTGTGAGTAGTCTAGGATTAACATTACACTAGTTATCCCGTTTGTTCTTTGCTTCTACATATAGTTCTTGTGAGAAAATGGTCAAGACAGCAAAAACACTCTCCCATCCTTATTTTAAAGAAGTTGTTGACCCGGACTTAGAGGACAGTGAATACATGCAGATGACCCCACTCTCTCTGGCCACTTGCAGACCCATAATTGCAAGGTCATAAAAAGGACAGCAAAGGAAACACCCAATATTCTAACCTACCCGGGAACATATGGTGCCTTGGGGAAACACCCAAACCAACCAAAAGGGAACATATTAGTTACTTCTGCTTTCTTCCTTTTTATCTACAGTGTGCCAGCCTTAAAGGATGAAGTCTCTATCTTATGTGTGTCAGCTTTGCTGAATAGCTTATGTAATCAAAGTAGGTATAAAAATAAGGCTTTTTCTATATTTGGGGCTTTTCTCTCTTTTTAGAGAAGCCCGTCTTTACTCAGTTAAATAAACACGTAACTCTTGAAGGCAACTTCTGGTTTCCTGTATTTTTTATCAAGCAAAACCTCAGAACCTGCATATCAAAGTCAGTTAGGAAAGAAAAGAAACCAGTTCTTCACGTAAAGTGGTATAGGTTCAGAAATACCAAAGACTAGTTTATATACAAGTACTCCTCGGTTTACAACAGTTTCATTTAGTGATCGTTCAAAGTTACAACGGCGCTGAAAAAAGTGACATGACCATTTTTCATACTTATGGCGATGGCAGCTTCCCATGGTCACATGATCAAAATTCAGATGCTTGGCTAAGTATGAGAAGCAGAATGAGTATTTAATATTGTATATATTGACAGCAACGAGAATAGCATTTGCCCAATATTGGAAAAATGAAAATTTACCATCTGAAGAGATCATAATTAAGAAAATTTTAGAATGTGCAGAAATGGATAGATTAACTTTAGAGATTAAAGAGAAAGAAGACTCAGTCTATTTTAAAACATGGGGAAACTTTTACCAATGGTTAGCAAAACGAACTAGTGAGAAATGATTGTGATATTTAATGGCGAATATATTTTAATAAGATGAAGGATGTGTATTGATTAACTGATATTGTTTATGATTATTGTTTCTCATATTTACTATAGCTATTTACTATTATATTAATTACTGCTATTGAACATATATACCCGGACAATAATCTGTTTGCTAAAGCTTGAAAATGTTATTGGGGGTCAACCCCAATGTTGTTCCCAATCCTGTCCCAACCCCAATCCTGACTCCAACCCTACCCCGAACCTTAATCCCTACCTTGATCCTATCCCTCCCCAACCTCATAAAACTCAATATAATTTTATATATAAAAAAAATTCAGATGCTTGGCAAGTTGTTCATATTTGTGACGGTTGCAGTGTCCTGGGGTCATGTGATTTCCTTTTGCAACCTTCTGACAAGCAAAGTCAATGAGGAAGCCAGATTCACTTAACAGCTGTGTTACCAAGTGCAGTAATTCACTTAACTGTGGCAAGAAAAGTAGTAAAATGGGGCAAACTCACTTAACAAATGTTTCACTTAGCAACATAAATTTTGGGCTCAATTGTGGTTTTAACTCGAGGACTAGCTGTACAGTTTATCCCATGCAGGGAAAGTTGATTTTATTATAAAAAACAGTAATATGCACTAATTTGACTTGGAGTATGTAAATGGTCTGAAGTCTTATTTACTTACTGAAATAAATTATGGATTTCTATTTATTTCTATATATCCTAATTTATATCAATCTCACCCATCGTAAGAAGTCTATGTTCAATCCTTTGGGTTATCTTTTATTTTATCCTAAAATTTAATATATATTTTATCCTACAGTTATATTTTCTTTTCTTGACACTCCTCTGTTGATTTATATCCAACCTAGCTTTAGTTCTGTTTTCCTTTTATAGCAGCGGTGTCAAACTGCTGGCCCGCAGGCCGGATGCATCATAGTGAAACCGTGCCCACCCCATTGCCGGCAATGGCAAAAAAGTTGCGATACATCGCAACACGTCACGTGGCATTGCGAGTTTGATACCCCTGTTTTATAGGGATTATTGGGATTATTCTCTTTTCATAACAGATAATTTCATTTTCAGTGGCTGGAATTGGCTGATTTCCCTGGCCCATTTCTTTCCCAACTTTGTTTGCCACGTGTCTCTATTCTCAGAAGAGCCTGCCAACAGGGACTGTTTGAGAACAGAGGTTTGGAAATTGATCTTGAAGAAAATCCTACTGGGATTGCTAGTACCTTCCTCCACATGTGGAAAACTTTGTGTCCCCCATTTTCTTTCATGCCACTGAATGTATGCCATTCATATTTCTAAACATGTTGCAATTCATTGACTTTTGTACTGCTGTTGCACCACCACTCACTGAATCTTTTGTCAACTGCTGCTCTTGAATGCTGCCATACTGGTTCCTTGGACACTACTACTGCTCTTCTCCAATGCTGCCTTTTTTCTTCTGAATGCTGCTCCTATCACTCAGTCATTGTCTCTGCATAACCCTCTTGCATATGAATCAATGCTATTTTTCTTTAGGATAAGAATGTTTAATCAGAAAAGCAGACTAGACAGCTGTAGCTGTGTAAGTTGTCTGAGATGTGTACATGTCAGCCTACAAATCTACAAGAGCAAGCAAAGCCCATACTAAATAAGTCTATGTGCCAGTGGGAGGAGATGGCAAACAAAGGATTTTTTTCCCCAATCATGGTCTCCCAGCATCTGTTTTGGAGGTGAGAATGTGTTCTGCAGGGAACAAGAAGAGGATTTGGCATACAGTTAGTTCTATGGCAGAGGACAGTAGTTGGCACTAAGTGAACAATATATAGCATTATGGCTGAAGAAGACAAAGATTTTTCAATGGGGAAGGAGAAACCAAGAGTGATGCTAGCAGAGCTGGGACAAGTGAGATCATGGGTAAGTGAAGCACAGGCAGCAGCTACCCCAGAGGCTATCTGATATTTATTTATTATTTTTATTTATTTTTATCCCATCTTTATTATTTTTATAAATAACTCAACATACCGAACATCTCCTATTTTCCCCATAATAACAAACGTTCGAGGTGACTTGGGCTGAAAAGAATGAATGGCCCAAGATCACCCAGCTGGTTTTCATGGTCAAGGCTGGACCTGAACTGGTCTCTTGCTCTGTAGCCTGATACCTTAACCATTAGACCAGTGATGGCGAACCTTTTAGAGACCGAGTGCCCAAACTGCAACCCAAAATCCACTTATGTATCGTCGGGTGCCGGGTGGGTGTGGCCCATTGGATGGGCGTGGCTGCGGTGGTAACGGCAGACTGGGTGGGACTAAAAAGTTCAATCAATCAATTCCAACTTTGCAAGATCTTTTTTTTCCCGTGAGAAGTTGAAATTGACTGATTGATTGAACCTTTTTTTTTTTTGTACACGGCGGCAGAGGCCTAAAGCGAAAAGGTTTTATAAAACCCAGCTGAAGGCC